GTGAAAATGTTTGTTTGTTTTTTAAAAAAACACCTTTTTTATCACATTTATTATCAACCATTAACTCACAGAGAAAAAAGTCATCCAAATGTAAACATTTCAGAAACGAAGCCAGACTTAAGCAGATACATCAAACATCCATATTGCTAGGGCAGCGTGGGTGCGGTCTCACCATCTTCTCCTTCCATAACGTGGGGATTCTCTGTTTAAGATCGCAAACAGGTTTTCCCGGGCGTGTGAACGGCACAGAGAGAAAACGCGAGCAAAGGACCATTAAAACACAGCAAGCTATATCTTTTGATTACTGGATTCCAGATCTCCCAGAGCAAATCGTTCAAACCGGATGACCATTTTGCTACTGTTAAGGCTGAAGAGGAAGAGGAGGAGAAGAAATGGGGGGGGGAGGAAAGGAACAGTTAGCAGGTACATGTTAAGTCCTATTGCAAATTGAAATGCTATGAACAAACTGGTTTTAGTTTCCAACACAGAAAGCAAGAAGTTGAAGCTTTCTTGCAGGGAATGTATGCGCACTCCATGTGTTTTCTTTTTGAACAACTGGGGACTTTCTTCCATGACATTTTCTCACAGAAAAATAATTTTCAGGATAAGAGAACCTTGTTCACACCCCTCTCCTATAAGCAGGGTCGCTCTAGACTATTGAGTGTCTTGGGGAACTGATCTTGACCAAGGTCGTCTTGGGGTCTTGACCATTGACCAAGGAAATCAGCAGAGGAAAGAGGTCCCAGATCTGGCCATGGCAGGACAGGTATGATTATCATATATAAGCTGCAAAACTTGTACATATATATATATATGTGTGTATGTGTGTGTGTGTATACACACACACACACACATATACACACACTTTTTCACTTTTATGTTAAAGCACTTTTATGTATTTTTTTCCCTTTCTTTGGATGGATGGATGGATGGGTTTTATATATATATCCTGCAAAATGTCAGATGACCACTAGATGGCAGCAACGATGGCAGCAAAGGGTTTCTGCATCTCCTTGCTGCCCTCTAGCAGTCACCTAGATTCCTGCAGCTCCGATACGAAAATGCTTTTTAGGAGACTCTGAATAGATGCCACTTGGAACAGGGGATGTTCAATATTGGCCAGCAAACCTCATATCGCTCATATCACTGATGGGCACCAACCTAATCAGGTTTCAGACAGGAAACTTTCCTAGCCCACCCTGGTGATACTGGGATTGTGACCTGGGACTGTTGGCATAAAAATGACGTGCTCCATCGCTGAACTCAAGCGGTTCGGAAGCGCAGGGCCAGGAACATAGAGCAACAGGGAAGACAGGAAATATTGTATGGACAAGATGGAAACAGGGATAGAAAAACACGGAAAGTATGGGGATGGTGCTGCCAACTAGATTTAGTTAGATTTCCTTTTCTTTCCTCTTCTACCTTTTATTTCTTTGGCCCGCTACTTCTTTTTCTGCTCTTGATTATAACTTCGTTCATCATGAATGGGAATAGTGTGATGGGCATTATCTATGGGCCATGTTTAAATATGAGCACAGGAAAGGATTTTATATTTAGCTGGACAGTTCTGGTGTGCCCCTTTGCTCACTCTTATCTGTGAAAAAATGTACCCTGGCTGCTTGGATGGCCAAGAGGAATGAAACCCAGGACCCTCTAGCTGTCAGAGTTTGGGCCTTTCTGTCTGAGTTTCCTTATGGAAGAAAAGCTGGAATTGGAAGACCCTGAATCCCTTGGGCTCTAAGCCACCGTATCACCCACTCAGCTCCTTCTGCAACAGATGGGCCAAATGGGTGTACTCATTCGCTCCACTGCTTTCTGCTATGAGAAGATTCCCATGGAGGAGAAATGCCATGGGTGAAACTGGAACCGTCGAAACATTTAGGCTGTAATGGTATCCCTGCTTGCTTTAAAACAGACATAAACAGGATTGCATTGTAAATCAGTAAAATGACTTCGTGTTAAAATTTCCCATTCAACTGTTGCCCCCATTTCAACTGGACAGCCATTTAAAAATGTTCTTGCTTTTAATACAAATAATAATGCAAACAGCACGATCTTCAAAAAGCATTCCTCTTCCCCCCCACCCCCTTTTTCATGCAGCAACGCTTCTTCCATGTACAGAAAGGCAGAATATATGTTAAAGTGATAAACAAGAAAGGTGTACAATATCTAAAAGACAACGGAACAGATGCCACTTCCTTCGAAACATGCAAAGGTTCACCACTTGGACACAGTGAAAAATTAGCCAACTTGACGCTTGTTACAATCACTCATCATCTGTTCAGAGTTTTAAGAGTTAGTCTTAATTCTTCTCCTGGGCGGGTAGGGGAAAAATGTGTACATTTATAGTTAGCCCCACTGGAGCTGTTATGGAAGAATCAACACAGGTTTTTAATGTCTCTCTTGCTGGACAGTCAAAATACACACTATAGTACAAGATGTCTTTATTTTAAAACTCCCCTACAAAAGACAAGCACACGTTGCTGTTAGGATTTTGTGTTTTGTTTTTGCTTACACCTTGCAGACAAGGCTGGTGGCAGGAGTGCAGAGAGCGCGCGCTGTGGGGTGGGACTGGACAGGGTGGGCTGCTCCAAGGAGAGGCCACCAGCAAGGGGATTGCATCCGGCTGAACGAGCTTGCAAGAGTGGAAGGACTCATCCGGTTCAGTGTTAGTGAGAGGCAGAGTTCTTACAGGCAGGTTATTTCATCAAACGAGCAGCCCACACCGAGAAAAGAGGCGGGACAGAAGGAGGAGCCGTTAGCAGCATCAGGGGCACTCAGGGGTTAAAAACAGAAAGCGGGTGCACACGCTCGTGCGCACAAGAGCAGAGTGACTCTCCGAGCTGCTGGATAGATTAGACACAAGTGCTCATGCAAGGGGAAATTCAGCGATTGCACCAGTAGCTACAACCTGCAAGAGAGAAAGTAGAAGGAAGGAGACACACAGAAGGGAACAGAGTTAGTCCACAGTTAAAAAGGTCTTTCAAGAGCAAAGGTCAGAAGCACAGAAGAAAGAGGCTTGTGTGTTTAGCCACTCGCACTCACTTTCCTAACTGAACTGATCCCACAGAAATATGGGTCTGGGAGAGTCTGAGGTTTTCTATCTCTCTGGGCAAGAGGCTGGGCTAGAAGACCTCTAAGGTCCCTTTGGATATTATCATCATTATTTGAGCTTAGGATTCTATGAAAGATCCTGATGAAAGAGGAGTCCATGCCTCTCAGATATTCCCAACATCTCTGAACCCTCAAGGCAGTGGAGAAGATTTTCAACTAGGAACCAGTGGCTGGGTTCACATCTCAGACTAAACTAGGGTTTGGCGAATGAGCCAAACTCGGCTGTATGCAGAGCCATAAACTATGGTTTGTAAACCTGGACAGCTAGATTCACGTAATATACCCCATCGAGGAAGCCACATGTAACGAGTGAACCCAGATACGGTTTCTCTGGTGTGAAATGATGGGAAGCTGAGAAGCAAGGAGACTTCAGCTGGTGAATGATGTTTCGGGGGGGAAGAGATGGGGGAGTGAGGTCCATGTTTCTCACATGCCATCAGATGCCCACAGCATTCATGGACAGGATGGGAAAAAGGGATTAAGACAGATACCCCTGCTGCTTGCATTTTGGCTAAGAGGGTTTCTGTCTAGACTTTAGGGGTATCCACAGGGTGGTCCCTCGTTTGTTATGAGCATTGCACGTAAACCTGTTAGGCTTCTTCATGAGACTGATGGACTTTTACTCCCCTGCTGGCCAAATGGTCTGCCTTGCAGTTTGATTTGCTCACTAAGACCTGTGGTTTCATCAGCGTAGCTTTGTTCCTACTTTACATACATGGATTATGATGGGAACTGCAGTAGGTACCCTGAATTTCATTTCTCTCTAATCTCCCCCTGCTGTGTACGTGTGCATAGGTATCTTACTAACAATTCAGCCACCGATGAATTTTGACCACAAGAGCTCTGAGCAAAAAAAGCAGAACAGAAAATTTCAGAATGCAAAAAAAGAAAAAGAAAAGCACTAAAACGTTCAGAAAAATGTTTAAAACAATAAAAAAAAAACCCACAGTGCTTGAACACTGTATTTATAGTCTGCTAATAATATTAAGGGCTTAAAGTGTTTTAAGTCTGTGCTTGTTATAAAGTCTTATTTATCCGAAACATAGAGCTTCTTTCTATTAAATGTTCCTTTCTTCTTTTTCCTACAGGTCTCTCTTGCTGCTATTTTTGATTTTTTAATTTTTGATCCCCTTTGTTCATTCATCAGTGGATGAAGT